AGTTACTTAAAACCTCCCAGAATTATATATTTTCTGAAAACAGAGACCCTGTAGGATAGGTGGCAGTGGCAAATTTGTATGTTGCAGTTTATCAAACCAAAAGTTCACTAACAAAATACACAAGGTAATTTTAGTGCGCAAAAACACAATTTAATACCCATTTTTTTTCTAAAATATAAAAGAGGAGGTTGTGGTGAGTAAATAGATACCCAACATGCCGAGATTATAAAATATGTGTGCCCATGAAATGGTGAGAAATTACAGTACACCAAATTGTCCATACACAATGCTTTAAACACCTCCCGGTCCACTGGCCGTACCTAAACGGCCTGTACGGGAGCTTTGTAGATGCGGGTGGGAGTTTTAAGATGTCCTTCCCTGCCCCCAGTGGTAAAACTACATCAAATGTAAACAGTCGGCGATGGCTGTTTACATACAAGCGTTCTGGCGTCTGTAGAGACCTCCAAACACTTGTATTTTGTGTAGGTGTGCAGCCCCCCCGGGATCCACTGTGCCCGGTGCGAGCCAGGAACGACACGGTGGCTCTGTCACCAGAGATCAAAGGGGGATCAGTACACGACCGCCCTCTGATCTCCTCTCCGTTTTCAGAATGCAAGAAGTGATGTATAGTACATCACTTCCGCATTCAGCTGTCATTCCCGGCTACAGAAGCTGGTGAATCAGATCTCTGCTTCATCAGCTTCTCTGGGGGTCCCTAGGTGACATTAGGGGACTTAGAGATCCCTGATGTCTCCATAAAGAGGACCTGTCATGAAAATTGGCTATCACATAGGGGGCTTCTTATCCCCCTATGTGATAGTAATAAAGTTAAGTGTAAAAAAAAAATGAAAGAAGCATAATAAAAATTAGTCACAAAAAAAACAACAAAAAAAGCTTTAAAGTCCCCTGCCCTCACATACAGATGCAAACATGCGTCAGGTGCTCCTACGTGCAAAAGAGATGATTGCGCCCATTGTGCCCTACATGTTCTATATCACCGTGAACATCTGAGTGAGAGCAATAATTCTAGGGCCATTAATCACTGATAACACTAAACTGATGAGTGGTAAAAGCTTTTAAAGCATCGCCTACGGCCAATTTTGGGTATGGTAGTTTTGTACTGCAAGCACAATTTAAAAGCTTGACACTATTTAACTGCCGTGACCCCGCCTTTTATATTTTACCAAAAAGTGGGGTGATAATAAATGTTTCATATAATTTCATAGGGAAACAGATTTTTTTCAAAATGTTCAGTACTTTTTTTGTTATATAGTAAAAAATAAAACCTCCAGTGGTGACTAAATACTGCCAAAAGAAAGCGCTATCTGTCCCCAAAAAATGGTATAAAATTTGTTTCAGTACAGCGTTGCATGATGGAATAAATGTCAGTCAAAGTACCACAGCGCTGAATACTAAAAAATGGCCTGGCCAGGAAGGGGGTGTAACATCCCGGTCAGCAAGTAGTTAAAAACCTGTAGAGGTCATCACTTTAGAGGTAACCATGAAAATTGTCCCTAAAATTATTGTTCTCACATGTATGCAGAAATACCTAACATCTATGGTGCAATCGTTGTTTTCGGATGTAGGTGCACCTGATGCGTTTTTGCATATGAATGGGGGCCGGTCCTGGATCTGACCGACCATCGCGCGAGCGGGAAACTGCCCAAATTTAAAATCAGGCATCGATGCCTGTTTACATACTAGCGATCTGCTGGCTATAGAGCCAGCAAATTGCTTGCATAATGTGCACCCCCCCCCTTTCTTCAGCCCCCCTCCGCTGGTCCCGATTTTCTTTGTGCCTGGTGCGAGCCCGGGACCAGCATAGTGGCTCTGTGACAGAATGTGGAAGTGATGTGTATTACATCACTTCCGCATTCTTGTGTCACTCTCCACCTTCAGACGATCTGTGCTTCATCAGCTTCTTTGGGGGTCCCTAGGTGACATTAGGGATCTTGGAGACCTCTGATGTCTCCACAGAGAGGACCTGTCACATCTCTTTGCTATCACATAGAGGGTTTCTTAGCCCCCAATGTGATAACAATAGCGTTAAGTGAAAAAATTAAATAGGAAAAAAAAATTAAAGTTGCAAAAAAAATTAAAATAAAGTCACACATGAAAAAGAATTAAAAAAAACACAAAAAATGTTTAAAGTCTCCGCCCATACATGCATGCGTGCAAACATGCGTCGGGTGCGCATACATGCTAAAATGACGATTGCGCATATTACGCCTCACATGTTACATATCACTGCGAATGTCGCAAGGAGAGCAATAATTCTAGGGTCATCAATCGCTGATAACACTAAACTGATGAGCGGCAAAAGCTTTTAAAGTGTCGCCTATGGCCAATTTTGTGTATGGTAGTTGTGTGCGATTTCACGGGTGCACGCAATTTTACTCAAAAATGTTCTTTATTTTGAATTTTTGCATAGAATTACATACAGTATAATGCAGAAAACCCAAAGAGGGTGTACAATATAGGCAGAACTATAACATACTAAGTATGGATATTCACTTAGTCAAATTGGACTGCGGTCCGAGTACGTGGGTGCACGCAATTTTAAGGCTTGACATGTTTGGTGTCTATTTACCTGACGTGAACCCGTCTTTTATATTTTACCAACAAATTGGGTAATAATAATTGTTTCCTAACATAATGTAAAAAAAAACGTTTTTTTTTCAAAATTTTCCGTAATTTTTATTTAATATAGTAAACAATAAAAAAAACCCAGTGGTGATTAAATACCACCGAAAGCAAGCTCTATTGTCCCTAAAAATGGTATAAAAATCATTTCAGTAAAGCATTGTATTACGGAATAAATGTCAGTCAAAGTACCGCAGCGCTGAAAACTGAAAGATGGCCGGGACAGGAAGGGGGGTCTTCAAGTGGTTAATTTAACTCTATGTTTTAACCACTTGCTGTCTGGAGCATTTTCGTACTATTTGCACACACATGATAAAATCTGAATTTGTGGCTAGAAAACAGCTTCAAACCCCCAAACAATGATATATTTTCTGAAAGCAGAGGACCTGTAGAATAATAAAATGCTAATTGCAATTTTTGATGTTGCACGGTATTTGCACAAATGTTTATCAAACCCGTATTTTTAGGATAAAACACACTAAAATGAAATTTAGTGCACAGAAACAGAATATAATACCCACATCTTTGGTAAAATATAAAAGATGGGGTCACACCGGGCAAATAGATTCCAAACATGTCAAGCCTTATAATTGTGTTTGCCAGTGAAGCCGCAAAAAACTTCAATACCCAAAATTTCCCACAGTGATCAATTGCTCTAGAATTATTGCTCTCACTCCAACAATCACGGCGATAAGTAACATGTGTAGCACAATTTTCATTTTTGCATGTAGGCACACCGACGGTGTTTGTGTATGTATGTGCCTGCACATGGGGGGCGGAGGACTTTAAAAAAATGTTTTTTGCATTAATAAAAAAAAATGTTATGTTACTTTCTGTTTTTTTTTTTACACTAACTTTATTGCTATCACATAGGGGGCTAGCAAGCCCCCTATGTAATAGCAGATAGGTTGTGTCAGGTCATCTTTATGGAGACATCAGAGGTCTTTCAGCCCCCTAATGTCACCTGGGGACCCCAAAAGAAGCTGAGGAAGCCGAGATCTGCTTCACCAGCTTCTTCTTCTGGCTCTAAGAGCCGGAGAATGTACACAGTGGCACCAGAAGTGATGTAATACACAGTGGTCGGAGGAGAGATCAGCAGCTGTAAGCCTGCTGATCTCTCTCTGATCATTGTGGGGAGACCCGTTGTGCCATTCCCTGGTCTGCACGGGTAACAGCAGAGACTGGGGAAGCCGGTGGTGGCAGAGGGGGTGGGGGCAGCACATGCCGATGATCGTTACAAACAACGCCGGATTGCTTGTATCTTAACAGCCATCGCCGGCTGTTTAAAATGACACAAAGAACATGGCTTCAGCTGCGGCTTCTGTGGGCCACCGTATATGTACGTATTGTGGCCCGGAAGTGGTTAAAACTTTTTTTAAAACTTAACTTCTTTGCTTGTGCCAGGAAAGATTGTGTGTGACAATAGTAGCAATCTTGCTGTCCTCCCTTCAAAAGGAAAAAGTTCAGGCGTGTGCCTGGCTTGGCATACACTGAGTGGCCAGATTATTATGACCACCCCATCAGTACTTCGTTGGGCCACGAGATAACTCCATGAGAAGTGCTGTATAGCAATGTATAGCAGTAGTTATCTCTTGCTCTGTCAGCTGTCCCAATCTATTCCTATTCCAACACACAATGACAATATACTGATGGTAAATCTGATTTTTAAAGGGAAGTGGCTGGTGCTTAATAATGATTGCCACGTTGATTGGTCCTCCATTGCTGGTCTGAAAGCAACAATTCTAGTTCTAAAATGCAAAAATAAATCAACATTCTCTCAGCCCAACTCATTGCATCTGAGAATGTTAATCTACAGATTAGTGATTAGTGAATGAGTTAATCAGGCAGTGAAGGGGTTAAGCCTATGACTAAGCCCATAATTGGGTGAAACATGTCATAATGAAGAGGATCTATGATGGGACAATGTGTGTACCTTTCTGCTATAATAAAGTTTTCAGCAAAGCTTGTGGTGTGTGACCGGACCTCGTTCTGTGAGCAACTGCTGATGCTGGAGCAAGACAGGGCTCGGCCGGTGTGCACCCAGTATTCTTTCTAGTGCTGCTGTGAAGGAGCAATGATACTGGGCTATGGAAGGGTAGTGATTATGAATACATAGGAAGTACTTGTGTTTGCTTGAGGGCATTTTTCATAATTCTGGAAAATTGCTGCGCTCATTGAAGCATTGTTCACAGAAAAGGAATTCTATGTCACAATTATATTTTGGGTTATTTTGGGGCTGCAGTTGAGGTATTATGGGTAAACCTTATCTCATCTGCTTTTACTTCTGTTGTAAGTTCTTCAAATGTATGACCACGTTAAAAGAGCCATAATGATTTCTCATCATGGTTTTACTAAGACTACTGGACAAACTTCACATTTATCAAAGCGACAAGCTTAAGTATGGCGCGCTGGACATCTTGGTTTCTCAGGCTGTATATCAAAGGATTTAACATGGGAGTTACAGTTGTATACAAGACAGATAAAAAGTGATCCATTGCATCAGAGATTTCATCTGCTGACCTCATGTACACACACATGATAGTGACATAATATAATATGACTACAGACAAGTGTGACAAGCAGGTGGAGAATGCCTTTTTTCTACCCTGTGATGTTTTTATTCCAGCAATAATTTTTATTATATTGGCATATGAAGTTAAACTAATCACTAGAGGGAAAAGACCATAAAGCAATGCTTCAATGAAGATCACCTGCTGAAACCCCACATCTGCACAGGAGATCGCTGATAGGGCTTTAACATCACAGAAGAACTGGTAAATCTCTTTGGTATGACAGAATACTAATTGTGAAGCCATTAGGGTTATAAAAATGGCATTCACAAAGCTTGAGCCCCAACTCAATCCCAAAAGCAATGCGCATTTTCTATTGTTCAAAATCAGAGAATAGTGTAGCGGGTTACAGATGGCAACATAACGATCATATGCCATGCAAGACAATAAAATGATTTCTGTACCACCCATGAACATGAAGAAAAAGGTCTGAGTCAAACATGTTATAAGACAAATTGCAATCTTTCTGGTCAAAAGGATGTCCATCAGTTTTGGGAGAGTGACTGTAGGGTAGCAGATGTCAACAAGTGACAAATTGATAAGAAATAGGTACATTGGCGTGTGAAGGTGGGAATCACAATATATAACAATAATCATAGCAAGGTTCCATACTACTCCGATTAGGTAAAGCAATAAAAATGCAGTAAAAATCAGATGTCGCTTTTCTAAATAGGAGGAAAACGCTAGAATATAAAGCTCTTTATAATGTGTGAGATTATCCATTAGCTTGATGCACACGTTCCATAAGTATCTTACTGTATTTGTTGATGTATAACTTTACTAAAATAAAAATGATATGTATTTATTTTCTTATTTTTAGACCCCCCCACCCTGCATTAAAAGAATGCCAATTTCTAATTACCTCTCCATGCTCCAGCCTCCTCCTTAGTCCAGTGGCAGTGGTCTTCTTCAGGCCTTACAGCAGTCAAGTAATTTTGCTCATTTCCTTTGAGCCCAGCCTGGGAAGAATGCCTAACCCCTGTTGAAACAGAGAAGAAGCTGCTATGACATCACCAGACTGGCTAGAAGATTGCTGGGAAAAAAAGGGATGTATAACGTTTTTAAACTAAAAAGTACCTGGGGGGGGGGGTCTTTGGGGAGTAGGTGGGAAATGCAAGAGGGGGTAAGGTAAATGCTGGAGTTTTCCTTTTTAAAAAATGCAGAATAAAACGTAATGCTTGCAATGGAGGCTACCCCCGCACTGCAAGCGCTACATGCTCGTTTTTGTCTAGGGTCTAAAATAACACATATACACTATATTGCCAAAAGTATGGGGACACCCCTCCAAATCATTGGATACAGGTGTTCCGTGAAATTTCCTTGCTACTAAATATTCCACGGTCACCTGTTAGTGGTATTATAACAAAGTGGAAGCAACTGGGAACAGCAGCAACTCAGCCACAAAGTGGTAGGCCACGTCAAATGACAGAGCGGGTTAAGCGCATGCTGAAGTGCACAGTGCGCAGAAGTCCCCAACTGTCTGCAGAGTCAATAGCTACAGACCTCCAAACTTTGTGTGGCCTTCAGACTGGCACAACAACAGTGCGTAGAGAGCTTCATAGAATGGGTTTGCATGGCCGAGCAGCTGCATCCAAGCCTTACATCACCAAGTGCAATGCAAAGCGTGGGATGCAGTGGTGTAAAGCACGCCGTCACTGGACTCTAGAGAAGTGGAGACGTGTATTCTGGAGTGACGAATCACGCTTCTCTGTCTGGCAATCCAATTGACTTGTCTGGGTTTGGCAGTTGCCAGGAGAACGGTACTTGCCTGACTGCATTGTGCCAAGTGTAAAGTTTGGTGGAGGGTGGATTATGTTGTGGGGTTGTTTATCAGGGGTTGGGCTTGGCCCCTTAGTTCCAGTGAAGGGAACTCTTAAGGCATCAGCATACCAAGACATTTTGGACAATTTAATGCTCCCAACTTTGTGGGAACAGTTTGGGGGTGGCCCCCTACTGTTCCAACATGACTGCGCACCAGTGCACAAAGCAATGTCCATAAATACATGGATGGGGGAGTTTGGGGTGGAGGAACTTGACTGGCCTGCACAGAGTCCTGACCTCATCCCGATAGAACACCTTTGGGATGAATTAAAGCTGAGACTGCGAGCCCGGCCTTCTCGTCCAGCATCAGTACCTGACCTCACAAATGGTCCAACATTCCCATAGACACACTCCTAAACCTTGTGGACGCCTTCCCAGAAGAGTTGAAACTGTTATAGCGGCAAGGGGTGGCCCAACTCAATATTGAACCCCACGGACTAAGACTGGGATGCCATTAAAGCTCATGTGCGTGTAAAGGCAGGCATCCCAATACTTTTGGTAATATAGTGTATATTCACTCAAATCTTGGTCCCGCCTAGCTTCTCGACTAATCCTTGCAGCCCCTCTCCCCCACTGCTCCAGTGATCTAAGGATCCATGAGTCATTACATCTAATACAGTGTATTAGACATGAGGATGCCCAGGGACATTCCATCGCTGGAGCCAGATGGGACCGAAGTTTGGGTGAGTATATCTTTGTTATTCTAGACCCTAGCAGAAAACGAGCCCCATTACAAGGGTTCATTTTTATTCTGAACAAAATTCTTCTGGAAAGCCCATCTCCAGGCAACATTTATATAAGTAAGCGCTAAGTGACCACCTATTTTGGTCTCACCGACATCTGGCTGTCCCATACACTCCCAGTGTTATAGTCCCAGGTACTTTCCCTGAATATACCATCCTCAGCAGCTTCCCTCAGCTCCAAGACTTTTGGTATTCACCCTTGTGGGTCACTGTCCCTCTCTGTCTCCCCGACAGGGATCTCAGGGTCACCGACCCTCTGGACCTCTCCAGCCTTCCTGGCTGTGTCAATTGTGCTCATGCACGCAGCAGCGTCTGCCTGTAGCCGTGTGCCTACTGCACACCCACAACTCTCCCCCAAAGCACGGGGCTGGCTTCCTAATAAGGCTGCTCTCAGCCACCTGATCAATAGAGGAATTGAAATTTAGAGAAGGAACTCAAATTTAGAATGCAGTTACTATAGATCTTGCAATGGTTATGTATAAATACAGCATTTAACTCTATGAAAAAAAAACAATAAGAATTTTTTGAAAAAATAAAACAGCATATAGGTTAGATTTTTTATAGGCAGTACTGTATGATATCTAAGGATAGCTATTCATAACCTGATAAAACAAAGCATGGCAATCAGATAAAAACAAAACATTATACAGGAAGTCACGTAAAGCACTTTTGAACACTGAAATCAATTATAACACAGAAATATTTAGAATGTAGGTTGGAATTATGATATATGAATATAAATTGTGGTCTGCACCACTGTCAATGTACATGTCATAACCCGACCATACAACTGACCATATCAGCTAGAAGGTCTTCTTAAATAATGTCACTGATTAATTAATACAAATGATTCACATAGAAAGGCCTCCTTTTACCCAGAGGGGCAGTTGGTTCCCATCTGAATGGCACACAACATCCCTATTATTAGCTGCATTATGAATGTTATTTCTAATTTCACTCATTTAAATTTAATAGTGCGGTCTCAGTAGAGTTCATTATTGACTCTTTTTTGTCTAACTAATACATCAAATGGTGTTACAATAAAAAATAAATAAAATTTACCATTCCTTTAGAAAGTAGAACTCCATTCATTTTTGTTATTATTGTGTGTGACATCCTTTTGATACTGTGTTAAATTTTTGTTTCTGTGTGTCCCTATTGGTGGGGGTCGCTCTTTCCTTCTCTTTCTATTTGGAAATCTTTTTTTCAAGACAATTTTTTATCATTTGCAAATAACATGTTACAACAATCAAACACAACAAACATTCTGACAACAACAAACAACAACAATAAGTGTTTGCCTCTTATTAACCCCTTAGATGCCGTAGATGCTAAGCTCGTTTGGGCAGAGTCCTCCTCACCTATTGTTTCTGTATGTCAATGATGCTTGTCAGTGCTTCTTACTTGTTTTGTCTAAACAATTGTACAGCGCTGCAGAATATGTTGGTGCTATATAAATAAATGTAATTGTAACTATTTAGCAAACAAATGATTATCCGCGCTATAGTGCTCTACCCCAAACTCCTCGATAACACCCTATTGACAGCTGTAGAGATAGAGAGAAGCTATATAAACTTCTCCCACATTATATTAAACAAAAGACACTGCACTATCTCTAATATTATAAAACTCTAAGTGCATATACTTAGTGACAATTATAGAAAATTTTGACTCCAACTTATATATAGTCCATATAAAAATATTCCCAAAATTGATATGATCAAAAATAAATGTGATGAAATCCTTGTGTTCACTTTCTTTACATCAGTGAGTTAAATAATCATTGCATATAAAGTTCCACAATCACTCGTGACTTCTGTGCTTCAAATCCTCGTCAATTAATCACCAGTGACACACGCACAGCAGTGACGAGGGATCCCTCTGCTATGGGTGTGCTATAGTTTTCTACAACCCATAACATTTGTGAACTGCGTCGCTTCCAGGTGCGCATGCGCATGAAGGAAGGTCATCAGGAAAACAGCTGATGCAGATGATGCATTCTCATCGGAAGTGACACAGTGGAGAAATTTTATGGGGTCGAGAAAAGTTATAGAACACAGGCTTTGACACTGTCCAGCTCCTCCCATTCTCCTCCTACAGCTCACAGCCCAGAGATCCAGACAGCCAGTGTGGCCTACAGTGGGCAATAGTGCCTACATATCAAACAAGGAGTGGAGTAAGGACGGAGCCAGGTTAGGAGAGGAGAGTGCCACCCCCAGCCAGCCACCCCTTTCAAGGATTTCCCAGTGACTCCTCACATCACCTGACCATTCACACTACCGTTACATGGATGGCAAAAGTGGAAGGTGTGACGGGGAGAAGGCAGGGTAAGAGGGAGAGTGAGAGGGGGGCCAATTTGATGCACCAAGTTACTCGCAGCCTGGGCCAGAGGTTGCCAGTCAGCCCCTGGGTGCTGTGGACTACTATATGAATTACTCCTATCCATATCATGCTGTGGAGCAGATTTCTCAACCGGGGTGCCTTCTGACTTCCTCAGATATGCCTCCACATTTTCACACAAATGCATGCCTCTGATGTGAAGAGAAATCCTGATGTGAAAGAAAGGGGCTCTGATGTAAAGAGGGGGGGGGGGGGGTGCTTCTGATGTGAAAAGGGGCTGTGATGTTAAGGGGAGAATCACACTTTTTTGTGTATTTTTGCTTTGGGGACTCCCTTCTTAAAATTATGCCAGATCCGTATCTTGTAAGAGGGTATGGGATGGATTTTTTAAATTTAACATTAACAGATTTTAGACTGGGGTGCCTCGAGAATCTACATATTTTAAAGGGTGCCGTGACTGAGAAAAGGTTGGGAAATGCTGCTGTAGACTGCTATGTGACACACTCCTATCCATATGGAGTGTGTCACATAGCATATATAACATAACATATATACTCCTGGCAGACATCATCACCAGGTGATAGCCCTACTTTTTGGTTCAGCTGAGCAGATTCCTTGAGATCTTTCAAATTCTACCAGCTACAATGTTTAGCATCATCACCTTTATTCGTAGAGCAGGCAGATGACAAAGGAATCTATAAAACTGGACCTGAAAATACAAACAATACAAAAATTATCTCCTTGGCCGACTGTGCAGTGTGGCAGAAATGTGTAAGGCTAATGTCACCCATGACATACCGGGTTCCATGTGATGCTCCA